GTTTCGCTGGCATACTTTACAACTGCGGACATACTCTATGCAGTCGTTCTTCATCCCTGGCCATGTGTACGCACGCATCAGATTGGCTAACGTCTTTTGCCAACCGAAGTGTCCCTCAGTATCGTGACATTCCCCTAGAATYAGACTACGAATCTCTTCGCTGTTGGGAACGCACAGGCGGTCAAACACATTAGTCTTCTCAAACAGCAACCCTTCTGTAGTGCGGTAATCTGGTTCGGTCTCTGGGGCCTCTCTAACTCTCTTTAGGAGGTCGCTATAGATAGGGTCCTGCGTATACGCTTGTTTCACTTTCTCCTGCATGTCTCTCCCTATATCCAGATAATGTACTACGGCTCCAAAGTAGTCTGATCTCCTACTTAGAGCATCCGCCACTACATTGTACTTGCCCTTCACTGGCTTGAGCTCAAAGTCGAATTGGTCTATCTTTGTGGCCCACCTAGTCAACTTAGGTGTCATCTTGGCCTGAGTCTTTAACCATCTAAGCGTTTCGTGGTCCGAATACACTTTGAAGTGCCTCCCAAGCAGGTAGTGCTTCCAATGATCTAAAGCCTGCCTGAGAGCGTAGAGTTCTCTCTCGTACGTGGAGGCAGCAACCTTCTCACAGGGCATCCTCGCTGACATGAACTCTACGGGTCTATAGCCATTGCCGTCGTCTTGCTGCAACACGGCGCCTATCCCAAACTGGCTCACGTCCGTGGTGAGGATAAATGGCAAAGACGGATCTGCAACTTTGAGGACAGGATACTCTATTAACGCGCGCTTTAGCTTCTTGAGCGCAGACGTACAGTCTTTGTCCCATTGCCAGATTGCCTCTTTCTTCAGCAATCGGTGCAAGGGAGCGGCGATAGTGGAGAAGTTCCTCACGAACTTCCTATAGTAGTTAGCTAAGCCTAGGAACGACCACAACTCTGTCAATGTGCGGGGCGTCGGCCAATCTCTAATCGCTGCGATCTTGCTGTCCTCTGGCTTGATGCCATCTCCGTCTAATACGTGGCCCAAGTACAAAACTTGCGTCTTGGCCCACTCGCACTTCTTCGCGTTGATCTTGAAGTTAGCCTCTCTAAGCTTCTCCAAGACCTGCCTCAGATGACTAGCCTCTCTAAGCTTCTCCAAGACCTGCCTCAGATGACCCTGATGCTCCTGGAGGGTCTTACTAAAAACTAGGATATCGTCTAGATAGACTATTACAAACTTATCTAACCATGGTCTAAACGGGTCATTCATACAACGCTGAAAAGTAGCTGGCGCGTTGGTTAGTCCAAAGGGCATCACTACAAACTCATAATGCCCATATCTAGTCCTGAATGCCGTTTTGTACTGATCATCAGGATGTACTTCTATCTGATGGTATCCGGACTTTAAGTCTATCTTAGAGAAATACTTACAACCCTGCACCCGATCTAAAAGATTGTCTATCCTGGGCAGCGGCTCAKCATTCKTCACGGTGATCGCATTCAAACCCCTATAGTCTATACACATTCTCAKCTCTCCTTCCTTCTTGGGGACAAACAAAACGGGTGCTCCAAAAGGAGACAAACTGGGCCTGATCCAACCTTTCTCAAGGAGTTCGTCTAATTGCTTGCGAAGTTCCTCTAACTCTCTAGGGGACATCCTGTAGACTGCACCCTTAGGAGTTCTACTCTCAGGCTCTATCTCTATCCTGTGCTGAATGGGTCGCGACACTACTCCTGTCGGCGACTCAGTCAAGTCTTTAAATTCTTCCAGCAACTTGGCAATTGTTGGATCTGTGGAGCTATCCTTTTCCTGGGCCTCAGTGACAGGTCTAACATAAACTACAAAGACCTGGTCTTCTAACTGCTCCTTTTTGACTAATCGCGCGAACGCGGGAGCACTGAGACAGCAATGTGCCAAGGTGTTGTCTACACCCGACACATGGAACAAGCGGGCAGTCTTAACTTCGCCTGCCGGACTAGGGAGCCTACACTCATGCTCTCTCAAATGAAGTGTGGCCCCTGCTGCCTCTCCCCAATCCATTCCCAACACTATATCAAAAGGAAGGTCATCTTCTACGAGGAGAGTCAAGGAATGGAGAACTTTCTCCACCTTCTCATCCTTCTCTAGGCGAAAGTACGCCTGGACTCCCTCTACGTAGTCCTCAACTCGCATCGTGCGGTTGTCTGCGAGGACACTGACTATGGGGTCTACTAACTTCTGGACTTTTAGTCCTAGCCTCAGCTTCTTCAGCGCCCTACGGCTAATGTAACTATGGGTAGCCCCTGAGTCTATAAGGGCCCCTACTCTACTTCTAAACACCTCTATGTCTACCAAAATCAGTTGTCCCTTACTCTCTCTTTTCATTTTGGCCCAGGCTGGCATTCTCTCTTTTAACTCTTCTACCACACCTGTGAGGGACGTGCCTAAAGAGACGCTAACACAAGCAGTCTCTGGACAACTACCTAGGCACGGGCCTGCAACCTCTGCCATAGGCTCATGTGGGTTGGGAGTATCCTATTCGCGCGCGCTCACTTCTCCACATGGCCTGGAAGTAGGGGTAGTTGCAACCCCTACTGGCTGCTGCTTTTTGACTGCTGGGCAGCCCAACGGGCCTGTCTATACTTTGGACAAAATTTAATTACGTGCGCCGGGTCACCACAGAATACGCACTGACCCAAATTCACGCGTTCCTGCCATAATCGTTGGTCTAAGCCCAAGTCTTCCCAGGGCCTGCCCTGCGGCAAGCCTGGGTGCCATCCTCCTTGAGGTGCCCTTCCACCTCCTCGTTGTGGGGACCGGTTACCTTAGTGATTTAACGGGGGACCTTGACCCCTACCTCCCGCTTGGCGGTTTCCCTGTCCGCCAACCCCCTGTGCGCCCGGTCCTCGGCCTCCCATGGCCTGGCCCCTTTGGCCCTGGCCTCCTCCTCTACCTTGCGGCCTCCCTCCGGCCGCGACAGCAGCGTAAGACCTCCCCTGCCCTACA